GGAGGATATAAAAAAGGTGTTTGAACTCAAAACATCAACTTTACATAGTTCTTCATGTTCATTTTATTTATATAGCTCTATTATTATAAAAATGTCCAAGGTCCAATCAAACATAAGTAACCGTTTTTCTTAGCATTCTTTCCTTTTACCATTTTCTACAGACAACACAGCCTAAGTCCTTACGGTCTGTTTGGATCCTGAAAATATCAGCCAAACAAAATAGGAAGGAAAAGGTAGAGGAAAATTGGATGGAAGTACAATAGGAGGGATAATTAGAGATACTAAATCAAACACGGAGTACTAAATTTATCACATTGGATATTTTTTAGTGCCGTTTATCTATTATGTCTATTGCACAAAGACTAGGAAAATTAAACATATGCAGATTTTGAAAAGGAAACATTAATAATATTTCATTTTCCTTTGCATTATCCAAGAAAAGACTAACCACGAGAATATAATTTCCCTTGGCACTTTTTCGCAGGATTCAAAATTAATAGCATATGAAAAACTTTTAGTTAGAGTGAGTATTAAAATTCTGAGCACCTTCTTTGCATAGTTAAAGATATCAGCCATGGCGAGCTCAGTAATCCCAGACATGGTATATGTCTTTCCACTGCTTGTTTGACCATAGGCAAAGACACTTGCTGGATTGTCATTTTTGCAAGAAATTAGGCATGTCTCTGTAGCCTTATTGACATCAAAACCAATAAAGCCAGGGAAAGGATATATACATACAGTTAATGCCAGTTAGGACAGTAAGAGCCACCCTTTTTGCAGCTTCTTCATAAACTTGCTTTGTAGAGCAATCCCACCCAAATACCCTGTCTATACCATGAACTGTCAACCAATATGGAGGACATATGACATTAAGGCTCCATTTGTTTCTGGGAATATACATTCATGGAAAATGCTTTCTAGATTTTGATGTGTTTAGCACAGCATAGTAGTGTTTTTTCTGTGTTTTGCACAGAAGGAATTCTTTTCCCAAATTCCTGAAAGCGGGGAGTCATTTTCCTGAAATAGTTTTTCTGTTTTTGTGGGTCAAACATTACATTATACACAGACAACTTATCTTCCTGAAAAACATTTTCCACATCAGTTTATATTCTTGTCATCAAATGGAGCCTAAGGATGCAAAAACATAGGACCAATGTTATTAAAAATGCTAGGCACAGTAAATACATTGGGAGTCTAATGCCAAGACACGAATTTGAGCACTTACTATAGGATGATGGTTTTGGCAAAATTATCTAAAATTTACCATCAATTAATATCACCCATAATTATTCACTTGGGGTAAATTTGAGTTACTTTTACCATTCTTTGTTTGAATCCTTCTTTCCCTATATACATATTTATCCTTAGACTGTTTCTTGATAAATGAAAACAAGGAGAAATGTTCTGTAAATCATTACATGGTTTAGGCTTCTTATACAATAATGGTTTGTGATATACATAAAACATCTTTATCAACCAACCATACCAAATTGGTATGCTGTAGGAAGCAAGGAACGTTCTCCGAGATTACTATTGTTGTTGTTTTTGTACATGACAGTGCTATTGTTGATGCATTCCCAATCTGAGACGTCGTTCCGGGAAATCTCTCTCTCGTTGAGAGGCCTCAACCTTACAGCAACAAAGATCTTCTCGTCATTTGTATGTGAACCCATTTCATCATTCGGTTGGAATTTGTGTTCTTCCCTATAGGTTGAACCCATTTCTGGAGTCTTATTCCCAAAAGATGATGTTGTAGGATCAATACTTTTTTTTTATGAAAGGCTATAATCAGATTTTTCCAAAGGAGGTTCCCTCTCTTGTTCAAAGAGAGGAACAAGCTTGGAATTTCTAAATGCGCCAAAACCGCTGTTTATATTCTCTTATTTGCAAAACCCCAATGAATGCATTTACATTCTTCTTCGTATATTGTTTTCTTTCGCTCATGAAATGCAAGTGTATCTTTTTAACTGCCGAACAAGGCTATGCAAAAAACGAAGACATTTGCATGCAGAAATGTTATCTGGCTTTAATTATATTAAGTGAAATAAAGAAACGTTGAACTTCCCCCCCCCCCCCCCCCCCCAAAAAAAAAACACAAAAAGAAAAAACTTTGGCTGTTTGATATTTTTGTTTTTATTGTAGGACCGTATTACGAATTAAAATAAATAAAAAATTGTAATGAAAATAATTGTGAAATTAAAGTTTTAAAAATTAAATTAATTATTGTTAAAGAAGGTTGAATGGCAAAGGTTGTGGGAGAAAGAAACTTTGGGTTAAGCTAAAACTCCGCAAAGACATGAGATGTTAGAAACAAATGAAGTTTTATGAAAATCAATAACAAAAGTAAACCGCGGGGAAGCTAATCAAATCTTCACATTTGGCATTTCCTGTTTTCCTTTCAAGTATAAAAGTAATTGGTTTTACATCAACTCAAGTGAGTATGAAGCAAGCTTTTTACAAAAATTATTGAAAAAAAGTTACTAGAAACAAATTTTCGACGGTCACAATAAATTATTAGTGAAATAGTAACGAACACATTACGTTCATAGCTTTGTAATTTTATTGTATTGTTAATTACATAATATCCATATGTAGTAGTTACCTTTCCAATTGGACATCGAAAATTTATTCCCCATTATTGGTTTTATAAATTATTTTTGGTGTTCACTTATCAAATATGGTTTGGTAAGGAAACCAACTTTCATTAAGTTTAACAAACATTTGGTGTCATTGCTCGTTCATTATTAAGCTCATTTGTCCCAAAATGATAGATGATAGATAAATGGATAAAGTGAGAAGCTAAAAGCCAATGTAGTTTAATTTAGAAAATTGTTCGTATTTTCAGACAATTCGAAAAGAAAAGTATTAAGTGTACAAATAAGCAAAATTGTAAATAGGATTGAAACGGCCATTGATGTCCAATCATGCAGCGCCCTAGCATGATTTCATCTCGATAGAACATCAATACTTATTTCGATGTGAAATGTGCTTATATGCATAGAATTCACCTTTCCCGTCAATGACGGGTTCAAGAGGCGAACGAGCCGTTGCTTGCACTAATCATATTTATCACGAATGGTTTATTTATCACTTTCGAACATCTCATATTTGTTGTAAAAAAACATCTCATCTGTTTAAACAAAGAACCGTTTTAAACAAAAAAAGAACTTTGAATATGTGCATATGGTTAATAACTTTCAAATTTCACAATGTTAATGTATGTGTAAATAAAAACATAAATATTGTGGAATAGCTGCAAGGATTGGAATGCTAAGTTGCCAACCATGCACTAAACGTAGAAAATTAATTATACAAATTTAACAAACTGCAAAACACTTAAACATTTTTTTACATAAAATTGTTCCAAACACACAAGAGTTTGATAGAATTTTGGTTTGCAAGGAAATGAGCTGTTTCCAATAAATATGCTTATATGCATGCAAGATTCGTTGTTGTGTCATCCACCGAGCATGAACACCCCACCCCGCCCCAACATAAGTGTTTTAACGCTCTACCTTACGTAAAAAACAATCCTTTTTTGTCTCAAATCCCCACATTACCTATAAATCACCAAAGATTATTATTATTAAACCCTAACCCAGCAGCATTAAGCATTTAATTTCAACTATGACAGACTTCAAGGCTTGGCAGGTAAGAAAAGCATTGTGCATGAAGATTCCTCTAGTTATAGCGGCAATAATGACAGTTTCGGCCATTGCAGTTGTAGCATCAGCAAGAAAAGATATGCCATCATTCTCGCCTTCTCCGCAAAACAATGAGCATAGACAGGGGAATGTTGAAGAATTACCATTGAGGCAAATGGAAGAAGACTACTACGGTGCGTGGGACCCAGCACCGTTCTTCGGTGGCAGCTATCCAGCTCCGGTTCCTCATGGCATCATGGGAAGAACAAGAAGAAGAAAGTTCATTGTTGTGCCCAGGCCACCACCAAGTTAGAGAGAACTCAACAGCAAAACCAAGGGACTGTCTTACTGAACTGAATGTCATTATTCTAGATATAGATACACATACATATGCAATTACTATACGAAGTATTCTGATATGTATGATTATTTTGCCCATTTAATACCCAATTTGGTATCTTGACTGTATACTGTTGCTCAATTTGGTCAATGACAACGAAATTCCATGCAATCATATAAATGGAAACGTGAATCAGAAGACATGTATTAGTATTTAAAATAAATAAGCAAAACAGAATGTTAGAAAGAAAAATAGATAAACAGACACTAACTTCCTTGGAGATATCTCACAAAAAGTAAGATATTAAAAACCCAAAATTTCTGTAACGCTAAACAATTATACAAACACGGCGAAATGAGCTGTCATCCCTGCCAGAAGTTCCTGTGCTTCTTAGGTCCTCACTCAATATACATATTTGGTTCTGGATATGAGATTTTTTTGTATGTCAACTAAATTTAGACCATCTTTGACACAGGAATTCTTTAGTCCTCAGAGACACGCAAATAGCCCCTCCCTGATTAGAGAAAAATAGAGGAGCATAAAATCAAGTCTAAATTGCCCTGGCAAGGACCACATTGAGACCAAAAGGAATTCAATGATCAACTCGTGTCATAGCATATAATCCTGGAAGCAAACCAGGTAATAGCTCAGCTCATACGTTTAAGTGGTTTAAGGATTGGTTTGCAACTACTTTTAAAAAAGCACTTCTCGGCTTTTGGGCTTTGGCTTTAAAAAAGCACTTATTTTCCCAAACACTACAACTTTTATTTTTCTCAGCTTCCGCGTCAAAAGTGCTTTTACTTTTTCTATTACACAAAAGGCACTTATTTTACTAAACACTACCCACTTTTACTTTTCAAAATCACTTTTTTCTCAAACACTATCAACTTTTATTTAATCACTTCTCCCCATTTCATTAAAAAAAGCACTTTTTTAAAAGCAGAAGCTGTTGCAAACAGACCCTAACACTTCGTGGCAGCTATGTGCATATGGAAACCTTGAAGGTAACAATAAACTGTTAGAACTGAAAAGTGTGCGATAAACTCCCAACTCCCAATGTCAGAAATGAAAAGTTGCCCGATAACCCTTTCACCATTGTAAGATGGTTTAATAATCTCGAGTATAATATTATATAACAAATTATGCAATGCCTAAGATTAAATGATAAAACATAATTTTTATGTTATCATTACATCCAACAAAAATTGAGTTCTCTGCAAAAGTATGGCCTAGTAGAGCTACAGTTTGATACAAAATGTAGAGCAGCAGGGGAACTTCAATCCATGCGCCCAGCAAAATGTGGCCTAAAATCTTGTTACCTGTTTAAGAGTGAATCGCAAAAAAAAACAAGTTACTCCAAATATGTGATGAGAGTTCATTTCTCGTCTATGAAACAAGTCAGAAACTTATGGAAGGAGCTATGTTTCTAAGTAAATGTAGAAAGCTTTCCTAAACTTTTAGATATCACGAACAATAAACTAAAGGTCTATTTAAGCAAGAACCAAGAAAACTACAAGATAAAAAATGTCCTAGCCATTTATTTTGAACTAACCAAGAAGCCAAAGCCTAAAAAGGGCTCAATATCTAGTATGGAGTAATGCACAAGGCCAAGTGAAAACTAGGTAAGACCTGACTAAGATATCAAATTAAAAACAAAAAAATCAGTGCAACCACAGTTTTTAAATGTGGACAGGAATTAGCATATGGCCAAAGTTCCTCCATGGGGCACCACTACCATAAACTACCATTTTTCACAGATTTTCTAGCGTTATGGCAAATCATACAGAATATGCTGTGCCATTTTGCCATGGACAGTAACCTCAGAAGTCAGAATAGTACTTTTCCAGGAGCATTTGTTGTGTAAAACATTAAATACATACATAAGACGTCTCCCAGATGGACCAGTGAAAGCAGCAACTTTCTGAGCACGGTGAGCTTCAGACTTATATAGCTCTTTCATTTCCTTTTTTGCACGACGGGCCTCACGCTTTTCTTCCTTGACAGCAGACTGTACATTCCAATAGAAGCATCAATAGATTACCATATCTACCCAAACATGATTTCTGTAGGGGATGGGGATGTGCATCGATCTCAAGAATATATTGAAGGCAACATCTGATGTTAAGCAACAATGATGTTGTGATGATAATATTCATTGAAACCTAGCTTTATGTATATCTTGGCTTGGATGTTGTTGTTGTTGTTGTTTTTTATTCAGTATATGTTCTCTTTGGTAACAATTATCAGAAAACTGAAAAAAATTACAATGAACACTGACTACCTTCCTTTCCTTCTTTTCTTCTTTTGACTCTTGACCATGTGGCTTCCGATTATATATTTCGACTTTAGACTTGTCATTTTCCTCTTCTTTGGTACTCTTCTTCTTCCCACTTTTCCCTGAAGCATCCTTACCCCTGTTAGGTAGGAAGTCCACAGGAAGCTTCTCCTTTCCTTTCAAGTTTATTATGGGCACAGACAATTTTGAAACTTCCGAAATAGTTGCCAACTTCTTTTTTCTCCTTAAACCCGGAGCTTCAATTTTCCCAGGGTGATTGTCCAGATTAGAATATGTTGAAACTACAGTTTCACAATCCCATATTTCAGAATCACTGCTACTTTCATCAAAAAGAACTGTCTCTTCATCTACACTCTCATTTTCATACTTCTCAGCATATTCCCTGACACGGTTAATCACATCAGGGGCAAATTCCATTGCCTCCTCATCATCAGTCATCTTCTTATTAATACGAAGCATATCTAAGGGGACCTTCTGATTCCCATCAACTTCAGACTCATGGATTGAGTGAAGCTTAAAAGTGTGACTGAGTTTCTCTGCAAGAGATGCCTCGTAATCATTTTCATCATCCATGTAATCATCAAAATCCTCTTCTGAACCGTATTCCTGAAGTTGAAGCTATAAAAAGAAAATGAAATTAGGGTCACGCTCAATGTGATTCGTAGTATTTAAGTATACATGTTAAAATGATTCACTGTGTTAATAATTTTATTTCATTGGTTACTTGGAAATTTGGAATGTGTTGCGGTGGCTAAAAGTCTGAAACAGTTAGATTATTTCCAAAATCAATTATACGTAGTATGTAAAACCGACTACTATTGTACATCGTAATCAATTATAATCAGAAACCATTTTACTTTAGGTAAAGCTTGCTGAAAAGTGGTTTAAAAATAATGGGAAAAGGTGCAAATAAACCCATGTACTAACCAAAAAAGGTCAAATAAGCCCTTATTTAGGAGGCTCTGTCCGGTCATCGCCATTTGGGGTGGTTCCCGGTGGAATTTTTTGATGAAATTTTTTGAGAATCTTATTCATGAAGTATAGTTTACTCATACCAAATTTCAGCTAAAACTTCAATCGGGAAGACATTCAAATGAATTCTTGAAAATAACTGTGCTTCTAACTGCACAGTTATTTTCAAGAGTTCATTTGAATGCCTTCCCGATTGAAGTTTTAGTTTTAGCTGAAATTTGGTATGAGTAAACTAGACTTGATGAATAAGATTCTCAAAAAAATTCATCAAAAAATTCCACCGGGAACCACCCCAAATGGCGATGACCGGACAGAGCCTCCTAAATAAGGGCTTATTTGACCTTTTTTGGTTAGTACATGGGCCTATTTGCACCTTTTCCCAAAAATAATTGATGAAATAGTGACTAGTATGTGACTGAAACGGTGTTAAGACTGTTAACAGACAGAAATGGGACTTTTTATAGGCAGTGACTGTAGTAGTAATTACACAGCAGTGACTAGGGGTGGACCGGGCCCGGGTCTTGGGCAGGTCATTTTTTTTGGGCATGAGGCCCGGTACCGGCCCGGACCCGGGTTGGGTCTTGTATATTTTTTTGGTTTTCCTTATTTGTTCCTACCCCCCACCCCCAAACCACCCAGCCCAATCCGCCTACCACCCGACCCATTCGAAAAAAAAAAAATTGGGCCCGAACCGGTTCCAAGAGGGCTCTAGCCCGTTACCCGCCCCAAAACCCCTCCCGGGTCGGGCCCAAGTCCTGGTCCCGGCCAACCGGTTCGGGCCGGTTCAAAACAGTGGCGGGCTGGACCGGGCCGGTCAACCCGGGCCCGATCATCCCTAGCAGTGACTAAGATAGCATATTTGTAGTTACTACGTCATATTTTTGCCTTTCAAACTTATTTCAATTACTTATTTCAAAACTTCATAATCGGTTTGGTTTGGATGCAACAAAATATTAAGCTTCTTACAAGGCAGAATAGGTCTGCAAACACCACACAAAAACTGTTCATAAATAAGCTGCATTTTTGCATTTAAAAAAATTGTTCTAAGAGAAGTAGAATGCTTCCGACATGATGAAGCTTTCAAAAAAAAATCAAACTGTAGGTTGAATAACAAGATATTGGTCTGTATGAAGATACTCACCATGTCAAACTGATCATCTATTGCACGGCGGACTCGTGGTGTTTCTTTAAAGCTGTCATCCTTCTCTGTGCTGTCAGTAGCCTTGACCAACTTCAGATTCTTTTCAACCTTTTCTTCATCAAAAGGAAATTCTGGCAAATTTGCCTTAATAACAAAATCTTCATCTAAATCCTCAACATCAGATCCAAACTGAGAAAAATCACTATCCTCTAGCAATGCAGCAACCTCAGGATCCACTGCTTTTTGAATTCTAACACCCACGGTCTTTGCAGCCACACTATATATCCTCTCACTGGAATTATCATTATCATCACCGAATTTTGAAATATCTATTCTTGATGCGTCATAAGCCTAGATAAAACAACATACGAAAAACTTAAATTACAGCAATCTAGCACCTCCACATAATTAATTTGAAACATTCAGAAAAACACCATACTAGTTACCAGTTTCAATCATTAAATACACCTATCACTTCATTTCACATAAAAATATTTTCTGTAATCATGTTCAGTAACAAAATAACTGACCTTGATATCACGTGGAAGCTGAACGAGCTGAGATTTTGGATTTTGATAATAAGTAGAACCGCCACCAGTGTTTTTAATTTCTCTCAAGTGAGCTAAATAATTGTAACCATCATCCGGAAACCCTAATTCCAGTATCTCCTTCCTTATATGATCAGGCAACTGCTTCTTCTTAGCTTGGTTATCGGGAACCGCAAAGGAGAAGTCGTTTTCATCGCTATCATAATCTCCCGGCGCGTCATCGAAGATACCACCGTGGTTATTATCCGATGGTCCGTCGTCCGGCTCGCCTGCGTCATCAAAACCGCTGACGGAGTAGGGATTGTTATCGAGTCTGTAGAAGGTTTTGTCGCCGGCGGGACCGGCTTCGTACTTCTGATCCGAAGAGTCTCGGGCGAGTATCTGAAAAGTTGCAGACTTTTTCTTGTCGATAAATTTCTTCGTCCTTCCCATTTTGGGCGGAATTAGAAGCTAAAGGCAGCTGCTGAAATCTGAGGAAGAAGAGAGTAGAGTTGATAAGAATTGGGCCTGGGTATCAAATGCCAAACGCCGGCTCTTCTTGTTCTTGGCACATCCCCAGGCCCCAGCAGATGTGTGCACACCAATTATTAAAGGACAACTTTACCCTCCTATCATAAACTTTGTGCGATTTCTTTGATTTTTCATGGGAAAAATTTGCACCAATAATCCGTCATTATCTACTCATGATAATCACATTTTGCACTTATCTTCTTTGTTGGATCCTTACCCGATTAGTGATTTACTAGTTTTTTTTTTTTTTTTTACTTTTTTTTGAATTCTTACATAAATAATCTCAGCTTTCAAAAATCCATAATTCAAAATAGTCTCATGATTCAATCTTTCATTTTTCTCCCTAACACAAACACTTTTTTTATTCTTTTTTCCATCCTTTAGTTCTTACTTATTTTCCGTATTACTACGTATTGTATTGTTTCTCACTCTATTTTAAGTGTTTTTTTTTTGTAAAATTTCATTCTCAGGTAGATTTTTTTCATTTTCTTTTTCTTCATGTATTTTTATTTTTATTTCATTTCCTTTTTTATGTGTTTCTCTTCTTAATCATTCTTTTTTATTAAATGTCTTTTCCCACTCTACTTTTAGTCATATTTTCTTTTTTATTTTCACTACTTTTCTCTTTTTTTTCTTCTTGTTACTCTTTTTTTATGTGTTTTCTTCTTTCTTTTTGCTATCTTAATTCCACCATCAAAATATTTTTCTCCTTTATGTATAATTGTGTTTTTCTAAGTAAGTCCACTCATTAATTTCATCAACTATGGAAAAAACTATATGTGAAGAAAGGTTGGGGGAAATAAAATTGAAAGAAAAATAAAACATTTAGGAACATATTAGAAAGAAAAAATTGCATTTTCCCAAATGTTTTATTTTCCTTCACATTGCTGGAATGTTTTATTTTTCTTGAAATTTTATTTTTCTCTAATATTTTTATCATATAGAATTTTTCCCACAATTGATGGAATTAATGAGTGGATTTACTTAGAAAAAAAATGATAATGAAGGAAGGAGAAAAAATATATTGATGATGGAATTAAGATAACAAGAAGAAAGAAAAGAAAACATTAAAAAAATAACAAAAGAAAAAAAAAGGAAAAGCGAAAATAAAACGAAAATATAACAAAAATTGGAATGAGAAAAAGATCTTTAATAAAAAGTGAATGACTAAGAAGAGAAACATAAAAAGGAAAATGAAATAAAAAATGGGAAGGAAATATTACAAAAAAAAACTCTCCTAATAGAGTGAAAAATAGAATAGTAAATGTTGAAAATAAATAAGAACAAAAGGATGGAAAGGAACAAAACAAAGTGTTTGTGGATAAAATATAGAGAAAAAATTTATGCAGAAAAAAGAAAAAAATGATACACGAGACTGTTTTGAGCATATTTGTGAAATGTGAGATTATTCATGTAAGTTTTTCAAAAGAATGCAAAAAGTCTGAAATAGTAGGTCATCAACCGGTCAGAATCCAACGAAAGAAGAAGAGGTGCAAATGTGAGATTATTCTAGGACGACGTAAAAGTGAGATTATAATGAGAAGATCCATCAAAGATAGGATTATTCTAGTAAATATTTCCTTAATCATGTTGAACTTTCATCAATTATATATATTTTATAGGAAATTATGTATAATATAAAAATAATATGAATATTTTCTTTGTTGGAAGTACTTTCACAAAAATTTATAATCCCTCTGTCCCATTGAAAAGTTCTCACTTTTCTTTTTAAAAAAATTCTACTTTTATTTTTGGCACAATTAACAAGAATAATCCCTATTTTTATGTATTATATAATAATAATCCATACAAAAAATGTTCATAAAAATGATTCGTACTAGCAATAGTATCAACCAAAATAAATTTGAGTGAATTCAAACTATTGCCCATTTAGTACTCCCTCCATTTTCCCATTCATCACTCTTCTTCTTAGTCAACACTTTTATGTTCTAACCAAGAGAAAATTACATATAGCGGAAATGATGTTGAGATTAAACGGGATTTAGTTTGAATTTGCCTTGAGAATAAGAATGGGGAAGAGAAAAGTGGGTGTAAGCATTGAGAATATTAAACGGGCATTGACTTATATTCTCCCCAATTTATTCTTGTGAACATCATTGCTAATTCGTATTATATGTGTGGACACTGTGAGTATGAATTATGATTGCAAAATCCCTAAAAGTGGAGATTATTATTATGAATTTCACCTTTACTTTTTGAGTTTTATAAGAGTATATGTTAAAAATTCATGAGAAATGAATTTCAGAAAAACATAAGTGAGTCAATTAAAAGCAACTTTGAATGAGTTGTTAACATGGATACGAACATATCATTCACAGAGAATCAAATTTCCGACTTGACTTCTCCAATAAAAGAATTTACCTTATGTTCAAAATCTCAAGATGTGTCCAACATTTTGCATGTCTCCAACATTTGCATGTCTCACATGCATCTTACGATTTTTTTCCGAAACTTCAAGAAGAATACTTTGAATAAAGTAATAACATAGGTTTCCAAGGAAAAATACCTCAAAGGAGGTATGATTCATTCCCTAACACATATAATCCAGGAAGGAGAGACCACTCATACTGGAGTTCTCATTCTAGCATGTCCACTGAAGACAGTATCTGAGCTTTCATTATCAATGTGACAAATATGCAGCGAAATATTGCACAATTCCCGCAAATTTCAAGTGTTGTGAGTCATTTGAAAGCAAAAGTTTTGGTGAAACTTCCCTCTCAAACAAAACATGATCCTAAACAGCAAGCTTATGCAATCACATTGACGAATAAGAAAGAATTTCAAAAGGCCTTTTTATTTCAATATTACTAAAATTAATGAAAAAGATAAAAATTGGACTTGTTTTAAATTTTTCCAAAAAAGTGACTAAAAGTCATTTATTCCTTGTATTTAATCATACATTTATTATTTTAATATTGCTTTTATATACTCCCTCCGTCCCCGAAAGAAGTTCCCCATTTGACTTTCACACACTTTTATGCAAGTAAACTTATTAGGGGGTAAATTTTACTGTTTTGACACTATTTGAACACTGTTTGGCACTATTTTGCACTGTTTTGATGTAGATAACTTTCCATTTAAGAAAATGGGAACTTAAATTAGGGACATCCAAATAAGGAAAGTGAAAACTTCTTTCGGAGACGGAGGGAGTATTTGACTAGTAGTCCATATTTTCCAGCCACCAGCACCTCCATGGCCTCCGACCCCAGCACCGCTACCGCCGTTACCGCCTTATCGGCACCACCACCGCCACCTCCGCAGACACTGTCAGTCACTATCTCAGTGACTCCAGCCACAGTGACTCCATCACCGCCAGTCACTATCTCAGTGACTCTGACCAAAAGTGATATCGATCACAGTGACTCCGGCCAAAATGACACGATACCGGTCTGGTAACTGCCGCCCTGTCCCTTCGCGCGATCACCTTTCCCGCATTGTCCACTTGTTAGCCACCCCAACCTCTATATGACAGCTGCCCACACCCATTGCCTATCGTCCCCCACCCAGTCACTCCCACACATCAACTCCGACCACCTTAACCGGCCCGAATCCACACCTCACAGCCCCACCTTTGACATCCCAACTCAGATCTGACCACACACCAAAGAACCCTAGCTGCTGCCCTCCCAGACCTGGCTATTTTCCGGTAGCCATTTCAGATTTGATAGCTGAGGCTAAAGAAGCTCTTTGGCGACTATAGAGTTGCAGTCGAGAAGAAGAGAGAAGAAGAAGAGTGGCAGCGACGGAAAGGAGAGGTGCAGCGGTAGCGTTATTGACGACATCGATGGAGTCAGAAAATGCAGATGAGTGCGGCGAGAAGAAGTGTTGCAGTGTCTCATGGCGTCGGCGACTCTATCTCAAAGCATCGGAAGTTGGCTCTAATCTCGCATCTGGAGCTTCTGGAATGAAGATATTATTAGTCCCTATTTCTAACAATCATACAACCATAGAAATGAAAGAAGAAGCAGATAGATTTCATCGAAAATTTGGTACACCGTGAAATGACCGCTGCTCTCCCTCTAGAAAGAGAGAGAGCAGCATGAAACTATTCTATCTCTAGTCTACCTCTATACTCTAATGCCTTAGCTTGGTTTTTCTCATAAGTTAGCTTCCTTTTATAGGAGAGGATGACTAACTTATGGCTTACAAGAGAGGCTAATGGGCTGATATGGCTTTTGTGGCCCATTTACACATTTAACTAACAACTACACAAATACAAAGGCATCTAACTAGATTGGACACCAGAAATAGTCCTAACAATCCCCCCTTGGTGTTAGATCTTGTTTGATCAGCATTGCGGCACAGATGTCTCTGTCTTTGTGTTCAGTTGCTCCTCAATGCAGCTCAGCTTCCTTTGTCTTTGCACTCGGCTTCTTGAAAAGGCTTTTTGAAGAAATCCTTGCAATCTCCCCTTTGATATCTTCATGGCAATTTGTTCTTTGATGCCGGGGAGTTGAAGAATCTTCAGGATGTAGCTTGTGATCCTTACCTTTCAGAAGTTGCTCTTGATCAGCAGTAATGAATTCCGATGGCGCCTCTGGAACGAGTGTTCAGGTGATATACAGGCGCGCACAGGATTCATCTTCAGAACTTGAATACTTGACCTTTGTCTCCTCAAAGTTTACGTGGCACAGCGGAAAATTATTGTTTTTGAGGAGATCTCGTCAGTTGCACAGCGGAATAAGATAGTTGAGTTGTGAGCGTAGCTGACCATTTGATTTGAAGGTGGCTTGACACTTGAGTTGAGAAACAAGAGTGTCATCATCATTGTTGTTGTTTTGTGCTGGAGGAGAGAAGTATCCAAAAATGATTTGTTGATAGTGACAGCATGTGGACTATTCTCCCCCTCATGACGATCCGATGAATCGGGACGTCATGCCTTTATTCTTTTATTCTGGGAAACAAAATTGAAAACAAACAGAAAGGTTAAATGATAAAGACCGGATACACTGAAGTGTTCCGTTAACACAACATCAATGTAAACACTGATGTGTGGCCTATATAAGAGGATATAAGCATTTCAGCTCTAACAGGACTTCCAACCAATCATTGTGAAGCAT